AAGCTCAGCATAAGGCTGATGAACTCTTTAGGACTTTGTTAGCTCTCGCACCTATCCCTCCTTCTGAGTCTTCTGGGAGGAAAATAAAAGTGGTCTGGAACCAATAGGGTCCGAGCAGCTGCTGGCCAGAGTGCCTGCAAACACAAGAACCAGGAGATTCCCTGCTTGGCTGTGGTACTGATGTGTTGCCCTCTGGATTCCTACGTGGTGGAACCACGGCATGAGATCCAGACATTGTCCAGCTTTCTGCACGTATAGCCAGAACAGCGCATGTTATGGTGTAAATAATCTCATTGTTTCCTATGAAATACGAATATGCTGAATTGCTGCAGTGTGCCCCACAGTTATTTAAACAGCCAGCTGAGTACTCCACCTAGCTCAGCCCCATAACACTAACGTGGTGTAACATGCCCTCAGAGTGGGTACAGAGACAGAAATTTTAACTACCTCCCTCTGGTATCCCTGAAGTCTTCCTGGTATTTAGCAGATAGGCCATTTAATACTATCACATCTTCCTTCAAACTGTGCAGAGTTTGAAGGAAACTCTGCTTGGGTTTGGGTGCTGGATGCAATAGCTGATGTGTCTGCTGTAGGGAGCAAATATTTTCACCTTCTTTATGTGCAGTAAAATGAGGAGATAGAATCACAGCAGAACAGTGAGGTGGAAGAAGAACAAGCTCAGAGAGGAGAAAAGAGGTTTGTTAAACAGAGACTATCTACCTGACTGGGCACACCAGTGTCCAGGAAGGGAACTACCTGTGTGGCAGGTCCTTTCCCTCTAAGTACCTGGGGACTATGGCTCTGCTCATCTGTGAACCGACCAACGGCTTACTGTGTCCTATCCTTTATAGCTCAGCAAAGGAAGGCTACCCAAAGAAGGCAGCAGAGAAAGGGGACGGAAGCAAAAGAAGGGACTGATGAGATTGCCAGAGGAAGAAGAATAATCTGTGATACCTTTCCTCAAAAGGAAGAAATCTTCACTGTCCCTTTCTTCATGCAGCCTCCAGAAAGATGGCACACTTGTGTACCTGTCGTGTGCATGTGTGTCATCAAAATAGCTGTGTAGGTAGAGCAGCATTGTGAATTGTGTCTAACACTGAATATGTTTTACATTGATGCTTCTTCCATGTGCCTCTTAATTTTAAATTTCTGAGCCTGTGTTCAGTAATTGTGAGCAAGTCTCTGTCACTTGCTGCATGCTTCATCTCTAGTTGTATGCTCAGTCCTATGTTAAATGGAAGAGGCACAGTCACAAGATTTGTAGGAAATATCCTGACTTTGAGCATAGCCTCCTGCCCACATCTGGCAGCGTTCAAGATATTCCACAAAGATCAGCTCTTCCAAGCTAGTACAATGT